GTTTTCTATTTATAAGTGAAACCACATTCAGAGAAAATTTGTGACCATAAAGTTGGCATCTATCTATCTATCTATCTATCTATCTATCTATCTATCTATCTATCTATATTTTTAGTCAGTCTTCTGTTGGGGAATTTTTCTTCTATTTTTTAAGAGAAAATAAAAGCCAGTGGATAGAAACTCTCTCAAATTCTTGCCACATACCTTTCTTCTGCTCCCTCCACCATAGTTGAAGAGATTGCTCACTGCCACAGTCAATTCTAAGGCTTTCCCTTGCAGTCTGATAGACTTAGCTCCATTCTACATTCCTTCTGCTTCCTGTTGCCTCTCTCCAGGTTAGCTAATTCCTAGAAACACGAAACAACTCACCCGGCAGTGAATCTGTCCCATGCAAACTAACAAATTCGGAATCTGTACCCTAACCACCTCTTTTCTGTGGTTCTCACAGGGCTGTTACACTTGGCCCACTATCCTCCTACTCTAACTACCACAGGGCTGGGTAGCAGACAGCTAGAGACAGGCCCACTGCTTCCAGAGCCTGCTGGTTATTCCTGCTAGCCGGTCCTAAACCTGTCCACGCTGCCCTGCCTTCCTATAAAAACCAAAATAAAGCCTTCTGCCCATGTTTCTCCCCATCTCCCTCTGTTTCATGACTGACCCTGGTACTTCCCCCATGTGGCCCTGTGTGGCCTGGTGTACCCCTCTTCTATTGAATTGTAATAAACTATGTTTTCAGTGGCAGGGGTCTCCTGATCTGTGAGCTTCCTATTATTGGAATAATAATGAAACCTAATTTTAGACCATCTGCTCACGTCCTTATCTGGTTCCTTTGGTTTCAGTCAAGCATATTGAAATAGGTATTTACACTCTCCATCACCACTTCCCTACCACCCTCCATTCTGAAATTCTCCTAAAATTTGACTTCTCTCCCAATATTCCCCTAACACTGCTTCTGTCAAGATCACAAATGATCTTATTGCTGAAATTTAAGGTGGCTTTTCCGGCATTACTTGATTTAAGCTCTAAGCAGCATCTCATACTTGGTAACCCCTGTGCTCGTGAAAATGACTTCCTTGGGCTTTAATGATATCTATCTTTTTCACCACAATGTCTGATAATCTTTTGTGGGTTCCATTTTGGTTTATTTGTTCACTGCAGAATCCATAGAAAACTCAACAGTATACTTGTCATTTCCACTTGGACATCCACCAGCATTTTAGAATGGGGACATCCTAAATTTTTTTAAAATATTTATTTTTGAGAGAGACAGACAGAATGTGAGTGGGGGAGGGGCGCAGAGAGAGAGAGAGAGATAGAGAGAGAGAGAGGGAGACACAGCATCTGAAGCAGGCTCCAGGCTCTGAGCTGTCAGCACAGAGCCCAATGTGGGGCTCAAACTCACAAACTGTGAGATCATGACCTGAATGGAAGTCAGGTGCTTAACCAACTGAGCCACCCAGGCTAGAATGGGGACATCCTAAATCAAGATCACATCTCCATCCCAAGCCCACTCTCCTACTGTATTTTCTTTCTCAATGAATGGCATTGCCATCCCTGTAGTTGCCCTAGTCAAAACACTGATGGCATCCCCAGCCCCTCTCTGCCACATTCCCCACATCCAGTCAGTAAGGCCTATGACTTTTACTTCTACTTATTACTTTTATTTCAAATCGATTTCTTTCTATTTCAATTGTTCCGACATTTAGTTCAAGTTATTTTACCTCTCACCTGGTGAATCCAACAGTTTCCTAACTACTCCCTGCCTCCATCTTTGTCCCTTTCTTTCCATTCTTCTCATTGCAGCCAGTGCTCTTTCTAAGCATTCACATCAGAGCAAACAACTACTTTTCCCCACTTAACACTCCTTTGCTTGTGCCTCACTGCCCTTAAGACAAGGTCCAAATTTTTCCACATGGCCTTCAAGGACTTTGATCTTGAGTTCCCTGCTTGCTTCTCTTGTCTCTGATCATCCTTACTACGACCCCATCATACTAAACTATTGCAGTGTTCTGTCTGTGCAGTTCCATGAACTCTCTTTCCTTCTCCTGTTCCTGGCCAACTCTAGCTCATAATTAGATCCCAGGTTAGAGATATGAATCCTGCATTAAAGCCTTTTCTGATTTTTAGGTGCCTCTAGAGCCAATAGAATACCGCCCTCAAAAGTCTTAATACACTATAGTCAGTGCCTTCTCCTTGCCTGTTTCCCTGGTAGTTATAAGCACCTTGAGGGCAAGACCATCTCTGGTCAACTACACAATTTCCAGCGTCCTACACAGTGCTGGCATAAATACTTGTTGAATAAATGACAGTAATTCCAACCAATGTTTGTGGGCAAGAGTGGTTCAGTGACATGGCCTGTTCTGAGCACACTAACATTATTGTCCTCACATTCCTTTCGTCATCAAGAATAATATTCATTGAGTGCTCACTGTGTGTCATGCTATTTTCCAAGAGCAGGGGAAAAAAGCCAGACCACTTCCTTATTTATTCCATTGAAATGGTATTTAAATAAAGTCACTTTCATTTTTCTTTTATTTCAGTGGTGATTAAAACTGAGATCATTCTTGTAGGGGCTGCTGTATAAAAGCCCGAAGAACTAATCATTGGCCTTAAGCAACACTGACTTCAGGGGGTAGGTTTCTTAGTTATCCATGATATATTTTGACCATATGCATCTAACCATTCATTAGAAGCCTAAAAATGTTTAAGGTCAAATCATCACCATTTAAAAACATACTTACTTGTTCAGGGATTGTTTTCCAACTGGTTGAACTGGACCACATGTTTATCATCTCTAATTAATTCCCATAATTAAATAATTGACAAACTAAAGCCATCTTTTGGTTTGCTTATAGAAATGCAATTGTTAATATATGTTGATATTAATGGCTAATATTAGCAATTAATTGCTAATATGAGGAAAAGGAGGGCACAACAAAGTCACTATTTCTAGTTAGTGGAATTTTTGATGATTTCCTAGAGCAAACAAATGTTTATATGTCTGACATTTTGAGCATATCTGGCAGAGGCTATAAATAATATTGCAACTTATGTATCTGACATTTGGCATTGCCATCTCCAGAGACTCTGCCCACATTTGTTATCAGTTTGCAAAGACCTAACAGGAAGAGCCAGACATTCCTGGATTAAATTATTCCATTTCATCTTCACAGAGAAGAAATTGTAGCATTTTCATGTGACTGGGCAGGAAAGGTGCTGCCTTAGTCCACTTGGGCTGCTATACCAAATATCATAGACTGGGTGGCTTCTATTTCTTACACTTTCTCAGTCTGAATAGACTAAGACAAATGGATCTTGCCCAAGAGAACTTCCTAGAGAGGGGACCCCAAAAGAATGGTGGGCAGTCAGTATCATGGGGCTGGTAGGAAGACATAAGCTGCTGGCCAGAGGAGAGCTGTTCTCACCAAGAGAGACCAAGTTAGATAAGCTAGAAGCAGTCCCACTGGAGAGAGGCAGCTATGTCACAGCTAGCACCCCAGGGAGGGAGGAGGAGGGCAGAGGCCAGAGCACAGCCTTGAGGATGCATCTTTGCTCCCTCAGCCCCTCTCTCCACAGGGTGGCCCTGAGGGGTCTAACACATGTGCCAGGAAATTGGAGAAGAGGTAGATAAAGAAGGAAAGAGGAAGCTAACAACACATCATGGCAGGCTCCAAGCCTGAAGCCAATGTAAGCTACAAGTTTAGAGGAGAATTATATTGGAGTTGAGATGTTAAACTGTTCTGCACTTTTAAAATGAAAGACTGTTCTTGGGCCTGAAAAGGCCCCAGGTTCTATGGGACCTGCCTGAGATTTTATCTAGGACCTGGAAAAATGGTCTCTGCTTAGTACGGAGTGGTGGGCAAAACTAAAACTGCTTTCATGTGCACGGTTTATTGAGACTGACTTCTGAAAAGAAATGAGTCACATATACATTTTGGAATGTTTGCTAAAAAAATTCTATGGCTTCTTTTTTTTAATTAAAAAAAATTTTTTTAAGTTTATTTATTTTCAAGAGATAGAGAGCGTGAGCAGGGAGGTGCAGAGAGAGAGGGAAACATAATCCGAAGCAGGCTCCAGGCTCCAAGCTGTCAGCACAGAACCCCACGTGGGGTCTGAACTCATGAACGGTGAGATCATGACCTGAGCCAAAGTCAGACGCTCAACCAACTGAGCCACCCAAGCGTCCTGACTTCTTTTTTGTGTATATGGGTATGTACATACACATATAACATATATACAGAATCGTGGACTTTTACAGTTGGAAGGATACTTAAAGATGTTCTAGTCCAACATGCTCATTTCACAAATGAGGAAAATTCAGTTTCTTTAAAATCTCTTTCAGTCCCAAAGTTCTGTGATTTTGCAATATTGACAGCTGCTCATAGAAGATATTGAAATAAACCACACTTTTCTCTAACAGATATGCACTCAACTTTTATTTTTTAATTTTTTTTTTAACATTTATTCATTTTTGAGAGAGAGAGAGAGACAGAGCATGAACGGGGGAAGGTCAGAAAGAGAGGGAGACACAGAATCCGAAACAGGCTCCAGGCTCTGAGCTGTCAGCACAGAGCCCGACGCGGGGCTCGAACTCACAGAACGCAAGATCATGACCTGAGCCGAAGTCGGATGTCCAACCGACTGAGCCACCCAGGTGCCCCTGCACTCGACTTTTAAAACAGAGCCAAGTAACCTGTGATGTCAGAAAGGCACTCTGAATACCAGTTGGTTCATTGCTTCTGCAGGAAGCTTGCCTTTTTTTTTTTTTAATAGATGGGGGATATGTCAACCTAAATAACTGCAATATTTGACTAAGAGCCAAGCCTCCAAGTCCAAAAACAGAGTCCAAATTTGCCCTTGTTTTAGATGAAATAATTTCTATTCACCTTCAGAGAACCTTTCAGTCCTACCTGTCCAGAGATTTATGCATATAGGCTTACAAGATGTCAGTCTTTCCAAAAAACCTTGGTTCTGTGCCCCTGAGCTTTCCCCCTACCCCGATGGCAGAGGCAAAGGTAGAAGGAAGTTTCAAAGATCTTCAGGCAGGAAAACAGAAGAGTAGGCAATGATCACAGTCCATTAATCTCATTCCTTCTGAGTTCTTGTACCACTCATGAGCCTACCATGTGAACCTCAAGGGAGTGGTCCCGCCATCTTCTAGGACCTCAGAGTTCTCCACTGGGGTCTCTGCATCTTATTTGTGGTGAAGGAACAGAGAGAGCATGAATGGCTCTAGACCTGTTAGGGAAGTCAGACACATCACAGCCACTCACATTCAGAATCAGCCCATGCCTCACCTGCTGCAAGAGCCTGGGAAATGTAGTTTTGACATGTGCCCAGGAAAAAAGGACATGATGGTGTTGGTGGCCATCAGTGGTCTCAGCAGCAGCCTGATATCTCTGTGCCTGATATCTCTGTGGGGGATCAATGTGTGCATGGACTATGCCCCAAATGGCTAGGCAGGGAGCCTGGCCCTGCCACATGGAGCTGTAAGGCACAGTGATTGTACCGACCTCGTAGGACTGTTGTGAGGTTACACAAGAGGACTCTTCAGAGTTCTAAATTTAGAACAATGGCTGCTCTTAGTAAACAACTGAGGAATAATAGCTATTTTTGAATGGAAAGCACCTCATCAGGTCTGACAAAAGAACATTAGAGGCTATTGTTTCTCCTTTCTCTTATTTATGGCTTCAACTAAAAATGTTGTTTTCTAATGTTTGAGGTCCTTCAATGCTTTCCGCCTGCTTCTCCTTTTCTTTCCAGCTTTCTTCTTTGCTGCAGCTTTGGATGGCTGTTTCCCTTCCGGATTTTTATTTCCTCCATCACGCACCCTCTGGCTGTAAAAGTCTCCTTTGCTTATGCTCTGTCCTGTGGCCTCCAGTTCCTTCCCCACCATCGAATACCTCCTGAAAACTTCCTCTTAATGAAACCTTCTCTTTATTGCCCATTTAAAGATTGTTTCTAAATTAAGTGGAGTGCTCCCTTCTGGTTTTCTACTTTTCTCCCTGTATATTTTATCAATTCTCACAGGAAATAAAACCCAGGAGAAACAGAGCTATTAGCAGCAGCAATACCAGTAATTGGCAATCAGATTTTATGGAGTTTCTTGGATACTGATGGAACAAAGTCAGAAAATAGAACCCATCTATGTCACTGCTTTACCCATGTAATCCAACCTGGAGAATTTTGGTTGGCATCCTCATCGACAATGAGCTTTACAAAAGGAGGCATTTTGTTTTATTCCAACTGTAGCTTCCTCACCCTTGAACAATGTACATAATGGGTATTCACAACTTTTTTGCTAAAATAATCTTCAATTGGAGAAGGGAGAGTTAACAGCAGAAAGTGGTACATGAAAACAAGGTAATATTTATTAAAAACTACTTAGTTTCTTCTGATATTCTCTACCACAACTTTTTAAGGAATTTTTAATTATAAGATTAAAGTCATTATGAAGAAGTATTCTTCTTAGAATCAAAAAGTATATTTACAGTGTTAGAAGGGCTAGCACATTTCATAAAAATGTTGGTCTTAGGATCTAAGTGGCCATTCTTCATCACATTATTTTCTCTTAGAAACTGTTAATAAGATGGAGCCCCTGGGTGGCTCAGTCCATTAAGCGTCTGACTTCAGCTCAGGTCTGATCTTACTGTTCATGGGTTTTAGCCCCGCAGTGGGGCTCTGTGCTGATAGCTTGGAGCCTGCTTCAGATTCTCTCTCTCTCTCTCTCTCTCTCTCAAAAATAAATAAACACTAAAAAATTTTTTTAAAAACTGTTAATAAGACACCCTTTCCAGATTCAGTTTAAGTGAAAGAAGGCATTTACCCCTATGTTCTTGACAGTGAAATTTTAAGGTAATTAAAAAACTCAGAGCAAAGCATTATGTCCTGTTAAGCCTTATTTTAAAATGGTTTGCACAGATACCTTTCAATTGTTCAAGATAAAACACACATAGAAGCTTCCTGACATTTTGTTCTAAGCTTCTTTTCTTGTAAGAACCAGTATTACACTGAAAACACAGAAGAGACAGATGATTTTTAACTTTATGCTTTAATGTCTGCACGTGCACATATTTAGGTCTATGCTACTCAAAGCCAATTCTCTATCATCAGGGGACTGCTTTGAAAGTTGAAAGATCCTGCAGGCCTCTTTCCCTCCTTCTCACTCTTCCAGAGTTCATAAGCATACCCACAGATGGGCTAAGAGGTTAAGAAAAATGGAATCAGGGAAATGGGTTTGTTTTGCTTCTTGTGTGCAGCTGTGTTGAAAAGGTTTGTGTGAAGAGAGAGAAGGTAATAGATAATCCATTAAAAGAGCTGTGCCTCAGGAATACCAGAAACACCTCTCTACTTTTTGCTGCATTAAGTACCTCTGTCTGATCCTCCTGTCCCTCCACCCTGAGAAACTCTCATCTTGGCCCCTGGGTTGGGCTGAGAATGGCAGGGGCTGGGACTGGTGAAAGCATTAGTTTCAGTGTCCCCACCCCCCCCCCCATCATCTTCACACTTCCTACAGAGTCACAGAAGTTGGCTCTCTTTTCCTGAATAGAGCTACTGATGAGGAAATACGGTCAAATTAGCAAGAAGTATCATTTTGAGAAAGAAATACTCAGCAATGCCAACGCTTTTGAGAATGGGGCAACTTTGTCAAATACGTAAATTGGTTTTTTCTTCTGCTGAACCAGTGAGGTTACCACTTTATAAGAACTAGTCCAGATTTCCTCATACTCTGACCCTGTACCAGCTACAAAAAGACCCTGGCTTTCATCTTCAGGATCTTTAAGAGGTCCAATGTCAACACTCTGGATTATCATTTCAATTTGAATTCAAGTTTGTTCATGTCTAGAGTTTTGTTTTTGATTTTTTTTAAGTTCTGAGACTGTGACTCTGGGGACTCTGTAATTTAGCATGGAAGAATAAAAGTAGCTTCAGTAGAGAGAGGGACGAGTCTCCGGAGGCTGTCTTGTGTAGTGCCCAAAGAGGCAGAGCTCTGTTTCTACAGATGCCAGTGGTCAGACATGCTCGTGCTCACGTGTTAGCATTTCTCCAGGTCCGACCTGCCTCAGGATGGTGGAAAACACAGCACATTCACCTGTCACCCAACCACCATTGTGGTTCCTAGGCTTCATCTCTCAGCTTGACTGGTGAGAGGGTTGGCAGTGTTTTGCTCCTGGGCCTAGTTCCAGCTGCTGATTTGGACCATGGCTCTGTGACGGACTACTCCCTGGCTGCAGCCCTCACTTTTCATAGTTACTGGGGCCTTGGACAAGTGGTTACTGACTATGTTCGAGGGGATGCTTGGCAGAAGGCTGCCAAGGCAGGTGTTTTGGCATTCTTGGCTTTAACCTTTGCTGGGCTTTGTTATTTCAGCTTTTATCCTATGGGCATCTGCAAATCTGTTGCCATGATGTGGAAGCTCTGACCTCTTTGACCTAATACCTTGAAAATGGACTGTACACCTCTTTTCCTCTGCTCTGTTAAGCCATTTAACTCACAATAAGGAGGAAATAACAGTTAAGCCCACTGGTGAGACAAATCTCTTCTCAACACCTGGTTATTTTTAGAATTTAGTCTTCGAGGAAAAAGCGTGAGAGGAATTGTATCCAAGAAATCTGGAGACTGAGTTCCATTGTATAACTAAGCATTATATATGAGCTTTTCCCTTTTAGTTTATCCTAAAGGGAATTCCGCTTTGTTCTATCAATACCTGATCAAATTTCTGTATTTGTCCTGGGAATGATGGAGAAAGGGAAAGATTGTTACTTTCTTTAAAAGTTTTTTTTTTATTTATTTTGAGGGGTTGGGAGGACAGGGAGGAGAGAGACAATCCTAAGCAAGCTCCATGCTGTCATTGCAGAGCCCAATGCAGGGCTTGATCTCACAAACCGTGAGATCATGACCTGAACCAAAATCAAGAGTCAGATGTTTACCAACTGAGCCACCCAGGCACCCCAAAGACTGTTACTTCTTAAGTAAAGACTTCCCCAAAATTAGTGTTCAATTTTTGAAAACTTGCCTCTCTGTTCATTCAATACCAGTAACTGATGGTTACATGTTCTATGGAAACTTTAAAAAATCAGGATATACTGGGGTACCTGGGTGGCTCAGTCAGTTAAGCATCTGACTTAGGTTCAGGTCACTTTCTCACAATTCCTGGGTTCCAGCCCCACATTGGGTTCTGTGATAACAGCTCAGAGCCTGGAGCCTGCTTCAGATTCTGTGTCTCCCTCTCTCTGACCTTCCCTCTCCTTGCTTGAGCTCTGTCTCTGTTTCTCAAAAATAAAGAAACCTAAAAAAATTTTTTTAAATAAAAATTAAAAAATAGGACATACTGTTATTTCACATTACTAATTTCTTTCTTTTTTTATTTTTGAGAGGCAGAGGGTACAAGTGAGGAAAGGCAAAGAGAGAGAGAGTGGGAGGGAGAGACAAGGAAAGAAAGGGGACTCACCTGAGGTGGGGCTCATGTTCACCCAAACTCAAACTCATGAACTGTGAGATCATTACCTGAGCTGAAGTCAGATGCTTAACTGACTGAGCCACCCGGGGGCCCACACATTACTCACTTCTAACTCCTGGGAAGAAGAGCCTGAAGAGCTTCTGAAGTGTAGAGAAATCCCGTGTAGGGAAGAGTCCCCCTTAGAGATGTCTCAAAAAAATTACAGATTCTACTGGGGACTTAATCCTCCTAATATATTTATTGTACTTACCCTAAATGTATCCTTATGTATTTATTTTACCTGTCCTAAAATCTCTGTCCACAAATATAACACTGTAAGTAATAAAGCATTATTTTTCCCACTGTGGGAATCTCTAGTGTGAAAACATAGTTTATGAAAATCAAGTTTTTTAAAACAATAAAATACTATACAATAAAAAAGAATAAAAGTAGAGAAATAATTTAAGAGTTAACATTTGGTTTTACTTGTGAAAATCCTTAAAGGAAACTTGATTTCAAGTGTAGTCAGGAAACCCTGAAGGGGGAGCTGTCACACTCTACCACTTGCCCTTGTTTGCAGAGCCCACCAAGAAGCAGCACAGCTCAAATGTCCCAGTAGGAAGAGGTTTACTTTACTACCCGCAGCAGGTAGCAAGTTTTCTCCTTGCCCAGGAACGATCCAGCCAATGACAACTGCAGCAACTCAGCCAATGAGAAGTTGTCACAACCCCAAACTCTTGTTTTCTTCCAAAAGACTTCAGTTCCCAGCAGCCCTTGCCAACACCCTTCTTTCCCCTACAAAAGGCCACTCCTCTCCTTAGTTCTCTGGACTTGCCTATGGTTGCTGTGGTTTGCATGTCAGGAATTGTAATTCTTCTATTCCCCAAATAAACTCATTTTGCTGGTTAACTGGCTAGTTTATTTTTAAGTTTCACATATTAAGGGATAATCTATTGGTTTCAAATGACCAAAACAGAGAGCATACAGTTTAAATGACTTTTTTTCTTCTAATAAATACAGGAAAATCCTCACAACTTAACCTCATATAAATTTGTTGTACCCTTAATATTTTAAACATTATTTTTCCTACAGCATCTACCACAGGGCAGTTAAAACATGTTTGCTGACACAATGAACGACAGCATGAAAGCATTACAATCAAATGCTTCAGAGCCAGAATGCACTAAGAACAGAGAATACGTGCTAGAAATGGAAATAATTTCCAGATCTGGACATTAGAATACTTAAGAAGTCTTCCTGCCCGAGTGATGTCAGAGCTCTTGGGTCACATGATTTAAACTAACCTTTTTCTTTACCAACAAACAGTGATTGGTTATATAACCAGCCAAGGAATTCAGACCCATACACATCCATTTCTGTACAAAAGATGTATGATTTGCCTGGCTTATAAATATGAGAATACCTCCTTGATTCCAGGAGAGTTGACCTAAGGAAAGGCACTGTCACATCCATTTCCTACCTACCATGACTAGTATCTATCTTTTGACGAGGAGGGCAGTTAAGGGGGAAAACATACATTTCTTGAGTATTAGAGGGTGTTGGGGTAACTGCAAGATCAGGTGTGAAATTAGAGTGTACTGCCCACATTACCACCAGGATACCTACCTTGAACAGAAAAACTGATTAAACTGAGCTGTGAGCTGTTAATAGGCTCACAAGGTAACACGAAGAAACAGTGTTCATCCATGAATACTCATTAAGGTGTGATGTGGCTCATGATGTGCTCTAAGGGGAAATCCCATTCTGAGTACAGTGCTGAGTCATGCATACACGTATTATATGGGTTTCCTTAACCCTTGGATTATATTCTATCCCATGAAACATCACAATTTAATACAGTACAACCTAGGTATGATTCCTGTGCCCCAGCATCAGTGCTTGCAAAAGGATATGTCTTAACAATATTGCAATCTGCTGCACAGTTTCGGGTATCTGTCTCTTGCTTCAACCCTGCTTGGAAGGAACAGACAGACCCCAGGAGGCCGCTTCCTCAAGTCTCCCACCACCCCGCAACCTCTTTTGCAGTCGCAACGTTCGGAACCACCTTCTCAGCCATCCTGTGCCTCCCCGAAGAGCCAACACCGATTTCCGCACTTGGCCCCTTTCCTGTGCACCAGCACGAGCTCCCACGTGCGTCAGAATTATGCCACCCGGG